TTCATTTGGTATGCAAATTATGATTTTGTATCAAAAATTAAAAAAGTTATAGCACTTTGAAAAAAAAGTGGCGTTTTTTTGGCCCACCCTGTATATTCGAATTCATGCCACATTTGATACTCTAGTATTGAATAAAATCCCCTCACATAAATAATGGATTACATTGGTTTCCCATGACCTAGCAAACTGACATACATATAAGTTGTCAACACATATTAGTCCCCGATCTGATTTCCAAAAGGGCTCTAGAAAAGGGGTTTTGTTGTCCGGTACTTTCCCACATAAAATGATTGTACCGTTTGAAAGAACAGACTTCCCTCTTAAAGAAAACACCTCTTCTATTGATGTAAACAGGGGCAAAAGGCACCAAAACGGGGTTAGACAAGGTGGTATTCTGAAGTCTCACTTTCTTTTCATCATGATTCCAGGTAAAACATTAGACGGATTTACTTCAAATTTTCACACATGTCACATGGTAAGAAGTTCTAGAGCTGATTAACTTTGCGGCGGCCATCTTGCATTCTGGTGGCCATCTTGGAATTTTTTTCAGATAAATATTGTCATCGCGATTCCACAAAAACCACATAACAGATGTACTTCAAATGTTCACACATGTAACATGGTAAAAAGTCCTAGACCTCATTATTTTTTGGTGGCCATCTTGCATTCTGGCAGCCATCTTGGAAGTTTAAAGATAAATATTGTCATCACGATTTCAGGAAAACCAAACGGATTTACTTCAAATTTTCACACATATTACATGGTAAGAAGTTCTAGAGCTAATTAACCTTTCGGTGGCCATCTTGCATTCTGGCGGCCATCTTGGAAGTTTTTTGGATAAATCTTGTCATTGTGATTCCAGGAAAACCACTTTACTGATCTTCTTGAAACTTTTACACATGTTACAAGGAAGGTTACATGCTACCTTTTATATTGATATAAACAGGGGCAAAAGGCAGTAAAGTGGGGTTACACAAGGTGGTATTCTAAGGAGAATGTTATCTATTTTTCTGTATTTTAAACCACATAATTTGACATAAATGCATATTTGGTGTATGATATCATGTTTTATATTGATAGAAACATGGGCAACAGGCGTTACAATGGGGTAACACATGGTAATATTCTAAAATACATATTTTTACTCTGCTTCTGTACTTTATAATGTATGCTAAATTGGCCTTGATCTGAGTATATAACGGAATTAAAGCTCTTTTAAATGAAAATGTAAATGTGTGGAAAACCTTTCACTGTGCATCATGTCACTGAAATGTTCTTCATGCAGTTGAATTATCTTCTGGACAGGTGATCACACAGAAGGAGAGACCTGCGTACCATATCCTTACTAAATATAAACAAAAATGACAAATGAGAAAGGAAAAAAGTGTAAAGCAACCTAGTGGGAAAAGCAAACTGTAAAGTGTAAAACTGGCAAACAAAAATCAAACCTGAATATCCCAAGACACTAATCTAATATGGGAATAAACAGCATCCACACCATTCAATGACCAATTCCTCATCAACGACCACAACTCCGAGGGTCATTCCATTCATACTGAAGTCATTAAAATACATGTTGAAGAAAAATTGAAAATAATGATATCCAATACTCATAAGATCAAAATAGTTGTAGATACTATAGTACTCATATACTTCTATAAACTGTAAACAAAGTCAATGCTTCAGCTGGGTTATATTCGAGATCAATAAACCAGTTAATACTTGTAATGTGTGACGTCATAACGGTGGGTCGTAGTAATGGTGGACCATGATGAATATTCGAAACAATTTGGTGAGTTTTCATGTTCGAATCGTAATATAGACCTCAGAGCAGGGGTAATATCGTAATATCATAATATAGACGATATAACCCCTGCTTTTCGCTCTATATTTCTTAAATATATGACCGAAAATTTTATTCTGTTCATTGTTAAAAGACCGAAATCGTGTAGCGATTGAGCTCTTTGGCAATGGCCAGAATAAAATTTGAGGTCATATATTTGACATAAATCATTCATTCGAGGTCCTTGTTACGATTCTGATATGATACATAGACAAGAAACACGACTATTTTCATTTATGAATTTTATCGGTCATACATACTCCAATATAGACCAGTTAATCAATTGTTCTAGCTAGTGTGACGTCACGTTTCATATAAGAATCCGTGGTATATACTCCGTGGTATATACAGTTGAAAACGAGGCTGGAGACTGCAGGACAATGAAATACACCCTAATATTTTTAATCATGTGATCGGTTCTTATCCAATGAGAACGCAAGATATATTTCAATGATATAATAAACGTCATTATTACATCGCTGTCACATTTCCCCCGTTCTTTTATAGGTCGAAGCCCTACACCTAACATAAAAGGACATATTCAACAGCTGCACACATTTGTGTTGAACGTCAAATGATATTCAACGGTCACGACTTGGTTCGATGTAATTTTGTTTATCTCCGAGATTTAATTAGTCAGTACAATTTATATATCATTTATATAATCGTATTCGGAATATAAATGTCTTCACTGTTGAGTTGGGCAGTGATGTAATAAAACAAATATATAATTCTATTTCCGATTAATAGCTATAACAATTTCACAAGATGATATTCCACTTTACAGTAAAGTCAAAGAACTAAGTCATAATTCGAAATTCGTATGTTCATCAGTATTTACTAAGAATGGCATCACAATTGAAGTTAACCTCAGATTAATTATTTTCAATATACCTATCAGCAAACGTGCAAATGATAATTTTGATGTTTTGTTACATATTGGGAAGCAATCTTTGGGATATGGCCTAAATTTCTGAATTTCCACTATGTCCCTGTATACCCCTACTTCAGAAGATGTATGTTATTTGTCATTTTTTCATTTTTCTGTTTTCGAATATTGAAAGATGGCACTGCATTTATTTTTTCATGATATGGACCAAACAAATGCGTGTCAATTTATACTGTAATATCCTACATATTAATATTTCAAGGGTAGTTTTGAAGAATAATCAAGAAAGTCCATGTTTTCAAATGGATTTTTCCTTGTCAAAGATCGTAAATGAGGATATGCGGTTTGAAAAAGTAAAAACATGTTTGAAGTTCTTACAATTCTTGGTTGAAACAAATAGTTTAAAAGTTGTGATTTTGAATGTAATTTCCTACTCAATGAAATTTGTTGATATTTTTGAATTTTTTCTTTGGGAATACACATTGCTGGATCACAAAACCTTGCCTTGTTCGAGATGCAAGAAAAGTGTATTGTTAATACTTGACGTCGTTCGGATATTTGGATGAGATTGACGTTTTCGGTAATATCCCACCACTGTAACTTCTAACCTAATTTTTGAAAGCCAACTATGATGGTCACGAATTAATATTTAAGTCATACGTTGATGCATACATCATACGTACATTAAATGTCGAATACATGCCGACTTACATTGATTTAAATATCCACAGTTTAACTCAAATCATCGATGCTCTAAACGGTTTATCATATAACCTGGTGAGTTTAATGTTTCATTTTAATTTATGATTATGGTACCGGATTTGAGTATGATTTTAGTTGAGGCTTAAACAAGTGTTTCAAAAGTGCTCCCTGAGAGTGGAAATTTCGTCTTGTTGCAATCAAAATAGTAGCGGGTCGTTTGAATTTTTGTTTGAATTTATAGCTTACATCTCTAAAATTGAAAACATATCGCGGTACATGCAGATTTTGGCGATCTATCATGATAAAAGCCTAAACATTGTGAAAAAACACAAGTTGACAACCTGACATTTGGAATTGAAGTTTCCTATATAATTATCGACTCGTGTTTAAAAGTCATGAAAACAAGGCTGAACATAAAATATTGATCCAGTTCCTTTATTTATTACGGGATCACTAAGGGAAATATTATTAATGACTTAAATCGTTGACAGTTATGTTGTATTCCAAGAGACTTATCAATTTAGAAATGCAAAATATTCAATTTTGTTTAAAAATTATAAAAAACGTCACCTGTAGAGAACAACGTTTACAAAATTATTTATAACGGAGATATTTACTTTCGCAACATTCGTTGGCATGTGTCAGAGTTTAAATAAGAAGAATATGCTCTTGATTCTATATTTTGTTCCCAAAGGATTTTTAAGGAGCGGTATATCTTAACGTACTTTTATCATCCCAAACTCAAACATTTCGAATACTTATTTTGCGAACGCTGTGTTTAATACGTTGAAAGGTGTATTATCATCTTGATAACCCCCTTAAAATTATTTTGGAAATCAAAGATGTACGATTTTTGAGTTTTTTATTTTCGAATGTTGATTTATTTACTTGACTTGACTGTTCACATTTGTAGCTTATGTCCTAATAATTATGGCGCATTGCCATATTGCCTTATCTAGTGTTTATGTTAACAGATTTATACGTACATGTAGCATGTTTTCAACTCATATTGTCTCTATGTCAAATGAAAATCAACCAGGACGCAATATGCTGAATCTAATAACGCAAATGCGAGTAGGTAGTTAGAAGTTTCACCACCAGGTTGCTCGCTCGGGTCAGATAGCATGGCGGGTATAGTAGAAAGTTCCCTTAAACTTAAATTACATCTATATTAGTGGTTTAATTTTCATACAGCCCTTATGTAACGAATAGTTATGCAAATTAAAGTATGTCCAGTAAAAGAAAATGTTTATATGTCCAATACAAGAAAAGATGTTTCACTTTTTTGTGATTTTGTAATATGGGGTCTATGGGGTTTCAACCCGAACTAGAAGTCGCATTTTCAAAAAAGATCAACTTTTCAAAGTTGATCAACGATATTTGAAACCATATATTTAGATGTATTTTTACATGTATATTTCAAATATGACATCACTTTGACTGGATTTTGAATATTTAAGGACGTAAATCAAGATCATTTCTACTCGCATCTAGTCTATTGAAGGTTCTTTCTGCTTGATTTATTTGCGTATAGTTAGAATAACAACAGTGAACTAAGGTGTCATATCAAATTATTATTTTTGATATCACCGTGGATACAATACCACAGATACCATTCCACAGTTTCTTTACAACGTTTTTGTTTGGTTCAACTGTTTTCTTAAGGTTTTCCTCAAACTTTCGGTCACATTCAGCCTCCTTCTTTTTGAATTCCTTTTCTCTTTCCTTGCTTTCTTTTTCGTTGATTCTTTTTTGTTCCTTTAATTGGTCTTCGTATTCTTTTTTGAGTCGTTCACTCTCTTCTTTCCTCGTTTTCTGTTCTTCTTCGTTTTTTCTTTTCATCTCCTCCATTTGATTTTTAATTTCTTCCTGTTCCTTAGCAATTTTCTCTTGCCGCTCTTGCTCTTCTTTGTCTTGCTTTATTTTGCGCAACCTTTCCTCTTCAGTCTTTCTTTCAAACTCCTCTTTTTGAGCTAAAAGTCGTTGTCGTTCCTCTTCGTTTAACCTTTCGATTTCTTTCATTTGCTCATTCATCTTCTTCTGTTGCTCTTCATATTCTTCCTGGCGTCGTTGTTCTTCTTTTTCTGCAGCAACCCTACGCAATCGTTCCTCTTCGTTTTCTCTCTCTAACTCCTCTTGTTGACGTTCAAATTTCTTCCGTTCATCTTCATTCCATCTTTCCATCTCGCGCATTCGATCTATCACTTCATTCTGTTTCTTTTCATATTCCCTTTGAAGTTTTTCCGTACGTTCCTTCTCCTGTTCCATAAGTTCCCTCTCTCTTTGAAGTCGTTCCTTTTCCGCTAGATTTTTCCTGTGTAACTCTTCCTTCGCAAGCTTTTCATTTCTCTTTCTTTTATCTTCTTCCATCATTTCAGTAAGTCGATGTTGATCAATGCAATACTGTTGACCAAGACCCCATTCATGTATTTTCTTATAAAACCGAGACGCCTCGGCTTTCCGATTTTCGCCTTTTAGCCTGTTATCGATGAAAAAGATTCGACCAGAACATGCATTGCGTAGCTCACCGAGTGCTGGCAATTCAACGGCCCCTTCCAAAAATTGTGCCTCGCATGCTTTATGGTAAGCTTCCTCATCAAAGTTATCGTCGTCGTCTGTCAAATCATTTTTTATATCATCACAACGAGTAAATAAGACAACGCCATAATCCTCGGCGAATTGTTTGCCAAACAGATCCTCTATTTGGGCAATGACTGCTCGGTCTTCTTTTGTAAACCGACCAAATTGAAGCACGATAAGAAATACATGTGGGCCGGGAGCGGCAAATTGTAGTGACTGTGCGACCTCTTTACAAATGATATCCTTTTCTTTGCTAGTGTCCATGAATCCGGGTGTATCGACGAACTTGTAGGAACCCGATTCATGAAAGCAAACATCAGACTCGCACTCTGCTGTAACCGATTTTAGGCATGGGGAGGTTTTAAATCTTTTCTTCCCGCCCATCAGAGTGTTGGCCGTTGCACTTTTACCTACACCAGTTTTGCCAATTAGAACTATACGTATATGGTCACCTGAAAATGATTCGTATGTAGCTTAATAAACACCTTTGTTGTATAATAACACCTTTGTTATATTAATTCCCAAGTATTTTGATCTCCACCTGTTTAATCAGCATTGGGATTTAGGAAATCTTCTTAATTTTGACCGTTATTTCAAATTATAAAGTGATCGCAAACCCAACCCAAAGGCCAATTCCATACCCATTAGATCCATATTATTGCTACCTCGCTGGGCTGGTTCTAGGGGTATTAGCCTTTTATTTTACTATATTGACCTGAGCAATATGTAACGACATAGTGGCGGGCCGTAGTAGCGGGCAATTAGGGAGTTTAAGCATACACTGTTTTTCAAAACCTAAACGTGAACGGAAGTTATTTAAGCAATGCATTAATATGCGATATGGGCGATTTGCCATACGTACAGGTTGTCGATTCGATTTTATATACAAGCTTAAACTCCCTAATATTGATAATTTAGCCCGCCAATGCGTATGCTTTTCGTTCAGTGGTAGTCCGTGGCAGCCCTGGGCATAAACGGTGGTAATAATACTAATTATTAGACTGGGGAAACAAGTTCAATTTCAGACTCCAGATGACAGATCTTCTACGGTTTCTAGACAGACAGATGGACGGGCGGACGGATGGAAAGACAGACTGGACTGGACTTGGACTTGGACCTTGACTGGACTGGACTGGGGCCTGGACTTGACTTGACTTGACTTGGACCTGGACTGGACTTGGGCCAGGACTGGACTTGGACCTAGACCTGGCCTGGACTTGGACCTGGATTTGGGCCTAGACATTGGACTGGACTTGGACCTGGATTGGACTGGCTTTGGACCTTGACTGGATATGGACCTCGACTGGATTTTGACATGGAATTGGACATGGACTGGAATTAGACCATGACTGGATTAAACCTGGGCTGGTCTTGAGCTGGACTTAGACCTGGACTGCGTTGGAACCTGGACTGGCCTTGGAATCGGACTGGACATGGACCTAAACCTGGACTTTGACTGGACTGGGACATGATCTGGACTTAGACCTGGACCTTGACTTGGACTTGGACCTGAAAATGGACTGCACCGGTATTTTTGTTTCAATTTTTCTTCACTACTTTCTATAAGGCTATCATCCGAACGTTTTTTCTCGAAATTTCAAAACGCCATAACTTCAGAAGCGGAAGATGGGTCGAAATTTGGTTTGCAGATTTGGATTACTGAGAAAATTCTACCCTTAATTCATAAATCATACGTTAAATTTGGAGAACTTTTTATTCTGACCTACTTTTCGGACACAATATCTCAAAAGTGGGTCAAAATACTTTCTGATGGCGGAAGGCTAAGACTATTAGCACACTCTTTGCTACCTGTATACAAAGATTTGAAGCAAATAATTAAGTTATAGTGTCAGAATCGCAAAAATATGGAAAAACTATAAATTTGACCTAAATTTTGACCTAGGGATTTTGGTGTCCTAATTTTAAAGCTAGGTGGCTTTTGAGGTTCCCTTCTTTCAAAGGCTCTCATTATATTAAGCTGTACTCAGTCTATATCACGTATTTTACACTTCAAAAAAAACATATTCCAATTGACTTAACATGGGGCACCAAATTTAGCGATTTTGAGCTTTCAAAACGCCATAATAGCATCCGAACCGGAAGACGGATCGAAATTTGGTTTGCAGATTTGGATTCCTGAGATTCAATCATCTATTCATAACTCAAAAGTTAAATTTGGAAAACTTTTATTTTGACCTACATTTCCGACACCATATCTCAAAAGTAGGTCAAAATACTTTCTGACAGCAAAAGGCTAACACTATTAGCACACTCTTGGCTACATGTATACACAATTTCGAAGAATATGATTAAAGTGTTTTTATTTGAAGCTTCTAGCTCAATTTTGAAGGAAGTTACATACATTGTTGTAAATTCAAAACAAATCTTACACGCTTTCTAATGATATATGTTAAGGGGGGAAGTGCCAAAAACTCTCAGATTATTTATCACGATTTGTTCTTTTAGTTATTAGAACTCGTGTACTTGTAAATACTTGCAAATAGGATCCTCTTGTAAAAACAAGTACATGTACTTGATGAGTTTTTCCGACCAAAAAACAAACTGATTTTTTAAAATCAATGTTATGCTCTTTCAGATATTCATGAGCATGCAAAAAATGTGTATCCAATATTATCTCCTTTGAAGGAGACGCATTTTAATTTTTTAAAATGTTTTATTCTCTCTGGGTGTATGTGTTATATGACCCCAAAGCATTCCTATCATACCTTTATCTTCACTACGTCGGACCATTTCAGCTATACGTTCTTCGTCGGTCATCTCCGATTGTTTCTGCATGCAACTCTGGTCAGCTCCATTTCCTATATCAGTAAGGCTACGCCTCATGGCCTCCTGTAACTGTGCATCTTCACTCAATCCACCTGTAATCCAAAAAGTAGTATTATACATGGCCTATAGATGTTTAGTAAAAATATTTCTGTGTGATCAAAATCGATAGCTTTCATCTCAAAAATGAGTCAAAATACTTCAGACGATAAAAAGCTAACGCCATAAGCATACTCTTTGCTATATGTATACCAAAGGAGCACGTAGGTTATCGTTATTGCTCAGAACTTCTGAATCTCAAAAACAGTGATGTTACAATAATAAAGGCAGAAGCTAAAGTTGACAAACATATGATAGTTAAACTGAGTATCTCAAAAACTGATTCAATAGGTAAAGGTTCAGATGTAGTGATAGGATGTACACAAAAACAGCTTTGTGCAGTTTGTTTGACAGAAAAATACTTAGAACATAGAAGTGATAATAATGAATCTTTGTTTGTGCTCACTAATGGGTGTTCATTAAACAGATCTTGTTTCATAGATCACGTGAAAATTTCCATGGCTATGTTAGGGTATGACTCGAGTAAGTACTCGGGCCATTCGTTTAGAATTGGCGGAGCAACTTCAGGTGGCAACGTTGGTCTGAAAGACTGGGAGATAAAAGCCATGGGGAGGTGGTCTAGCCAATGTTATCAACGTTATGTGCGTACGTCAGTCGACTACTTGAGCAAGTTATCAGCTAAATTAACTGAATGTTGATATTAAAGGGTATAATATTATTGATATGTGATAACTCTGAAATGATATGTTATGGATGTAAGTAATTGTTGGGCGATCTTTGGGCGGTTTTTATAAAAGTGTTTATGTTCTTGTTATTTTACGTTTACTTAGTATAATAAAGCATCCGCTCATTTTAAGCCCAACACATTTCTTACTGTTTCAATATTTGTTATTATTTTGATATGCAATAACATTAATGGTTATTTGCTTGCAAATTGACTTTAATGAAATGTAATGTTTGAGATAGATGTCGCATCATACATATTGCTAGTTTTTGAAATAGCCGTCAGAGGCGGGGCATAGTGAACAAAATTTTTCCACGCCCACCCACCCTGTACATGTACTTCATTAATTCATTCGACATATATTGTACAAACGTTTAAAGGGCGGTTTTTATAAAAGTGTTTATGTTCTTGTTATTTTACGTTTACTTAGTATAATAAAGCATCCGCTCATTTTAAGCCCAACACATTTCTTACTGTTTCAATATTTGTTATTATTTTGATATGCAATAACATTAAAATTTTGTTCACTATGCCCCGCCTCTGACGGCTATTTCAAAAACTAGCAATATGTATGATGCGACATCTATCTCAAACATTACATTTCATTAAAGTCAATTTGCAAGCAAATAACCATATGTATACCAAAGGAGCACGTAGGTTATCGCAAACAATTTCAAACGATTCTAACTTGAATTATGAATATTTTCTGATCATGAACATGGGTGTGTCTTTTAGATCCATTCATTATCTTCAAGAAAAGTATTTATATTGATAATTTAGTTATCAGACCTAAGTGATATTGAAGGGGCAATGGACCAATCAACATACTTTTTCAAAAATGTTGACCTAATTTTCACCATAAACGCAACCTTTTATTATATTGTTGAATGCATAATTAGAATGTGCTTTGAGACATGTTCGATTTCCTAAATGGAAAAGTTGATTGCTCCATGGACTTAAAAGATACTGAATTGAGATGACCAAAATGAACTGAAACCAATGGATAGCATGAGAATTTTCAATGGAGAAATAACATGGGGAACACTTATCTTTAAGCAATTACGTTTTTCTTTGAAGAACTATTTGATACATCAAAATAGAGAATAGTAATGCATAAAACATTGTAAAAAATGATTGCATTTTTGGTGAAAATGGGGTCAACATCTTTGAAAAAGTGTGTCGATGGGTTGATTGCTAGTTAAATATCTCCGAGTTTGTTTGACTTTATTATTACTGCATATAATTTTCTTTGAGATAATAAATCGATCTAAAAGATAAACCTGTTTTCATTGTCAGAAAATAGTCATAATCCAAGATACAACCTTCTGAAATTGTTTGCGATAACCTACGTGCTCCTTTCGAAGAATATTATAAAAGTGTAATGTCAGAATCGTAAAATAAGGGAAAAGTGAATTTGACCTAGATTTTGACCTAAGCATTTTATCTGTTTATTGTCCAAATTGTAAACCAAGGTAGATGTTGAGGTCTGGTTCTATTGTAGGCTTTCATTAAGTTCATTAAGTTGGCTGTATCCAGGCTGCATCTCTCTTGTAATGACTTCAGTATGAATGAAATGTCCCTTGGTGTTCTGGTCCTGGATTGTGGTATCGGTTCTCGATTGGAGGGGGGAGAGGGTGTTAGACATTGTTTCTTTTCAAGTTAGATCATGGTTTTGGGATATATAGGATCTACTTTTCTTATGACAGATTTACACTTACAGTTTGCTTTTCTTGTTTGGTTTCCTTAAAGTTTTTAGTCACCCTTCACTTTTGGCATTTGAGCTTAAATATTCGTATTTTTACAATTCATAATTTTCTTCAGCCCCATTGACGTAACATTGAAAAGAAAAATAACGATTTTTGAGATTTCAAAATGCCATAACTTACAAACCGGAAGTGGGATCGAATAATGGTTTTCAGATTTTGATTCCTGAGAAAATTTAACTCTTATTCCATAATTCACACAGTAAATTGGTCAAAATGGGTCAAATGGGTCAAAATGCTTTTCTGACGGCAAAAGGGTAACACCATGAGCGTGCTCTTTGCTATCAAAGTCGATTTTTAGGTCCATTTCTATTGTAGGATTTCATTAAGTTGGCTGCATCCAGTCTGAATCTCGTGCTTTTACAACTTATAATTTTTTCAGCCCCATTGACTTAACATATGACATCAAAATGAAGATTTTTGAGATTTCAAAACGCCATTACTTCCAAATCGAAAGTTGGAACAAAATTTGCAGATTTGAATTCCTGAGAAATTTTTTCACTTGTTCCATAAGTCATACTTTGAATTTGGAGAACTTTTCTGCTGACCTACGTTTTGACACTTATTTTTCAAAAAACTGTAAGAGTGATCAAAAAACGATTTGCTTTCGGAATAAGCTATTTTCTAAGATACATGATGCAAAAAATGGAGCGAAAATATTGAAGGATGATTTAGAAAATAGGTCAAATAGTGAAAACACAAGATTTGACCTAGTTCTTGAACTTTGACCTAGATAAAATGCTGACCTAATTTCCCATGATTCTAGACACAAGAAGAAGAAGAAGAAAAAGAATAAGAAAGAAAACAGGCAAAAGCAATAGACTCCAAATGAAAATCTGGAGTCTAATGATCGTGCATGCTTCATTTATATAATTAAAGTAAGTCAACAAAATGACGAATGGTTTCGTTAGAAACCAGGATACTTGTTTTGACGAACGAGACAACAAATTCAACACAGACGTCTGGTTTTTCAAAAACCTTTTAGAAGCCTACTATGAATAAACAGAGGAAAATATTTACATGTTCTCTTGCCAAAACGAAAGTCATGAATTGTGGTAACAATGCCATTGTATAAACTTGAAAAATATTTGGTACATGTAAGTGGATGTTCTTACTTGATAAATAATAAATACTATTCTTTAACCTACTTAAGGTCTAAATGCTTTCTTCTTCCCTCCTCAAAATGTAAATATGATGTAATAGTGAACCCTGAACCATATTCAGAACGACACAATAAAGGACCTTATACACCCTCCATTGGGATCTCCCCATGGGAAAAAAAATAATTCATCTGATTTTTCAAAATGAGTATTCTGCTTCAATTATTACATTTATATGCACACTAGTATCTTGTTGACCTATATTCAGCACTGTATTGATGTATAGGCCACTTATTAGGGTCATAATTCAATCATGAAGTGTAGAGGCATAGATTCCAAACCAGGAAATATTTTTGTGTCTGTCTAAATCCATTTACATCCTACGCATCCCTGCATCTTATCCAAATATGTTACTACATAATGAAATATAATAGTATAATCTTTGGTTTTACAAACTTGTATGATATTTGATAAGTGTAAAAGTTGTTTTTGGAGCATTTTTCTATAGCCATTTTGTAGGGAAAAAATGATGAAAAAATGTACAATCTTTTAATTTTAAGTATGACCTGAATCGATTGCAAACTTCATATTTGCACATTTGATGAGATAAACCATTTGTGTCGTATTGTGAAATTATTAAGTTTGCAATCGATTCAGGTCATAGTGTATTTTTGGTATTTCTGTGATAATCAATGGAAACCAATGGCCTCTATTGGGATCTGCTGATATCCTCATGTTAAGTCAATGGTGCACAGCCCCATGTAAGTCAATACAACCTTTTCTGAACGAAATGATCCCTATCTCAGCTTATGTGTGTCCGAGCACTTTAATATTTTCCAAAGTATTATATGACATTTTATTCTTCATGTTACACCTACGAATGATTCATTTTGACCATAGGGATATTTGCCAATAATTGCACCTTGTCCTTTTGTAACAATAAAAAGCGAAAAATTCTACTATTCATTGTGTTTGCGATGCAATCATGCCAAAAAATGTGTAAAGTGTATCAACATTATTCTAAATGCTTATTAAGATAAACATAAGTATTTTTCTTAATGAATAAATCTTACTTTTTATAATTTATTTATTATTCATTAAAGGTAAATACAATTGTGTTGTATTTACTAGACAGATGGATGGATGGATGGATGGATGGATGGATGGATGGATGGGGGGTGGTGGGGTAGATGGGTGGATGGAGGATCTTCTTTTTCTGATTTTTATTGCATGAAAACATTATTCAACAAGGGGTTTAAATCTTCTTCAAAAGTAGAATGGTTTGAAAGTCTAGTTTTGAAGATGTCAATTTTCGGTGACCAGAATTATGCTAAAAACAATGGATGGCATGAGTTTTACCTTCAAAAAACATGGGATATGTGGTTTTCAATTTTAGCACTTTTCAAAACCAATCCTCTATCTGAAATTGTTAATAATGGTGTAGAAGAAACTTTTGATATAACTTCACTTGAAAGAAAACATATTGTTTGAATAAAAAACATTGTATTTATTGTAAAAAAATAGTCATGGTTAAAGATATGACAGTCCATGGGATATGTGGTTTTCAACTTTAGCGCATTCCAAAACCCATCCTCTTTCAGAAATTGTTAATAATAGTGTGGAGAGACTTTTGATATGTTTAAATTGAAAAAATAAGATCATCTCTTTAGAAAATAAGCCTTACATTTTAAAAAAAGTTTCAAGATGGGGTTCTAATTTTTCAGAGAGCTGGATTGATATTTTATTATCATGGGGATTTCACTTGAAAGAAAACATATTGTTTTCATAAAAAACATTGTGTTTATGGTCAAAAAATACTCATGGTTAAAGATATGACAGTCTAAAATCACTTTGTGGCTACTTTTAACAAAACTATTTTATAAAACTACTGTTTACAGTGACGGGTTTTACGGGTTGGGGCAAGGCGGGACGACGAGTTATAAGTTTCGATTTGATATACTATAATTATTAACTAGGCTAGTTTAATTAAATTCTTTGTTTTATACTTACCAGTTTGATAATCTGTCCCTGCCATGTTCTTTGCGCACTTATCCTTAATATTTAAAATTTCAAGGCGAAGTCTTCTCGAATCTAAGTCCAAAGCGAAAGACGGTAGAGCGAAAGACGCGCGTAGTATATAACCTAGTGCCTAGAATGATAAAAACGTTCAACTCTAGATCGATGGAGTCAATCAATTTAGTATTTACTTTACAAACAATGACGTGTAAATCTTTTATCCCTTGACTTGACACAGGCTCTCAATATACACGCCGTTTTCTCAGTAAATATTATGTTTTATATCTTAACCAATGGCATGTGTTTAATTATCCATCGAATGTTATCTAAGATACAAAGTATTTTGTGAGGAGCGTTCGGTGTTTAGTATCGGCGTTTGGCATCTGTAACACGTTTTAATTTAAACTAGTTTGTGACAAGTTGTCATATAAGTTCCTATTCTTTGCTTTGGTAAATACAAATCATGGTCGTCTGATCTATACTTTGAAGAGATGAATGTAGTAAGAAACAGTTTCATTTTGACATTGATTTAATGTAAAACATGTTCGGATGATAAAAGTTTAACTTATTGTAGTTTCTGCCTTTTTGTGAGTCAAGCGTGATACCAAAGGGTAACAACAAAGTATAAACTAATTGTTGCCAATCATACTAATTCTAATTATTTATTTTATGATAAATGTGTTGTAAAACTATACAAATCAATTTCTCTAATAAATCGGCTTTTTCTAAAATATTTGTAATAGCAAATGGATTGCATAATTAACAGGCTTATCATTCCAATAAGTGCAAATTCATTTGGGAAACAAAAATGTGGTCATTCATGGAAATTTGAACAACCAACCTGTATCAGGGGCAAATTATCTCTCCAAACAAAATTCTAATTAAGACTATATTGCAACGGCCGTATATACACCTATACTTGATAAATCGTAAGCATTTGCACTACCACCCACATCATTTACTTCAATTATAATTTATTTTAGTTTGTTTCTTCGCTTATGATTTGAGAAACTCTTTATATTCATTTTTTGCGTCTGCGTTAGCGGCATGTATTCACGTGTATCAATATTGTTCCTGCCAATGTCAAATCGAATGTGGTGTGCTTTGATAGATGGCATATATATAGAATTCTGACATACAAAAAAATATCTAAAGAACATTTCTTGATTTATCAATATTTATAGGCGTTCATAGTGACGCAAATACATAATCCACCATTTTGTCTCATATTCCTTCAAAATTGGCAGCATTTTCGTCAATTTGAATGTTCAGTTGAAAATTAATCAACTTCAACTTTATCAAAGAGAAATTAGGGATCGCTGAACCAATTCGTATAGAATGATATCACCGAAATAGTCCCCTTAGAGATAATTTCGAACATAAACCCAGACCAATAACTGGGAATTTCAATCCGTATTATCACAAGGAACTGATTCTCCAAAAAGCCCCAAAACTAAAAGGATCCAAAATCTACATACCTGAACAATACCCTAAACCATGAGGAGCGGCGAAGATATGCATATGAACTTAAACAGGAAATTGCAAGAAGGACCCAACAGCAAAATGAACGCAACCTAAAGATTTCGAAACCTTACCTTTGTTTCGGGGAATTAGACGCCGAATTGGCTCCGTTAATCGGAGTCGCCTCCATTTGCGCCTGTTACGCGTTGCAGCCTCGTTTTGAACAGCTACATGTGGCTGGAACGGGACAGCATCTTTTCCATTCAATCGAGGTTGAGCCATTCAACCATACAAGTAAGCCATACAACCGAAGGTAAGCCATACAACCGATTTTTGCCGATGCAATCTGACGGAGAATGCCGAGCCTCTCTTTTTGACCAATTAGAGACGTCCTCTTCACATTCGTGGTACACTCGGCCAACTTCGTTTGCAAAGAAAATCTTCGGCAATCACCGGCCTTTCCAAATCAAAATTAGATTTTTATAAAATGTGCACAATGATTACAACTAAGATTTTGATACCTCTTTCAAATTGTTTTATCTTTTCATGCCAATCAGTTTTATATGAAAAACTGAGGAGGGAATCAAGAGGCATTACAAATCAACAAAATGTTATCCTTTTGTATACATTATATCAAACAATGAATAGAGAGATTTCGCACATAAGTGAAAGTACAACTTATACGTATACGTATACTTTAAAGGGTTGTGTCGAACTATTATATTTACTAAAATCAATTTTAAATTGAACTTAATGGAACATAACTATTCCCCATATAGAAAAGCTGAACTAGAGACTATGAATGCACTGTCATATGCACATGTAGATCATGCACATTATAAATAAATGCTTGCTTCCGTGTCCTAGTAGTTGTAGTGTATTATAAACACGCTCCTTTAAATTGAGCCATGATTGTGAGTCATTACATAAACAAGTTGATTATTTCAACGTTTTCATGATCAGTATAAGTTCAATGAACTTACAAAACGGTATATACGAGGGGTGATCCAAAAGTCTTGGACGTCCTGCTCTAATTTTATTGGTTTTTGATAAAGTTACTTGAAACTTTCCAACAATAAAGACGAACGACCTAACTACTTTGTGTATTAATTTCATGGAAAAATGATATATTTTATGTAGTTTTCTAGATAGTTTTTAATATAGGGACCCTGCCACCCGGAACGGTATTCGCAGATGGCAACTTTCAGCCTTAAATGTTGCCGCCATTTCACTTGTTTCGCATGTCTTGACCACTATCTTTCTTTGAATTTTGAGTGTTAAACCATGTTAGTTTACTTCCCTTGATACTAGGCAACCAATTAATTGTGTTTTAATTATAATGTCACATATGACAAAGGCCGTATATGTCAAATTCTAAGAAAATGACATCAGACAAGCAACCCTCATTCTGGTATCATTTTTGCAGCAAGATGGCTGCTGAAATGCAGAACATAAAAGATATCAAAGTGAAACAAAGAATACACAACATATTTTCACTATTATGAACCTTGAGCAGCTACCATATGCACGATACAGTCTAAATATGGCTCCGTGTGATTTTTTTCCTTTTCAGAAGTTGAAAGGAGGGTTGAAAGAAAATGTTTTTTACTCATTGGATGAGGTTTAGAGTGGCACTCAAGCAGCATTTGTATCACATAAGCAATGGCGGTTTCATAAATGTCTTCAATTCATTGGTAGAGCGGTATGAAAAATGTGTTCAAATTCGTGGAAAATATGTTGAAAAGTAGGTCTTAATATGTGAAGATGATGATGGCAGCTGACGTTCAGATTGAAAATCGAAAATTCTCTCATATCTTGACTGGTGTTAGGTTGTGCACCTGCACCTAAAGTATTTGCCATATTATAACAGTTGTGGCGTGATTTGCTACATTTAAATACCGTTCCGGGTGGCAGGGACCAGGTATGAAAAAATATTTAGAAAAGTAGCTAAAATATAATATTTTCTGTTGAAACGTATACACAAAGTTGTAAAGATGTTGATCTTTATTATCAGAAAGTTTCATGTAATCATATTAGAAAATAGCAAAGTTAGAGCAGGGCGTCCAAGACTTTTGGATCACCCCTCGTATATGTAGATGATAAACGTATACAGGTGGATCTCCGTATAAAGTGTTACCTACTTGTGTGTGGAACAATTGACCGCAAGCATTTTTTAAAATTAATTGGCTGAGTTGGAAAAGTATCCAATCAAATACTTTAACCATCAATTTGAAACACCAATCAAACCAGTAGGTTCTAGCAATTCCTCGAAACGACCCATTCAGTAGCTCAACAAATGACATACAGGGTGTTTCATAACGAACATCTCCAAAAAGTCAATTTGAGAAGAGATAGGTCTATAACATATGTATTATATATGAGCCTATTTTATTCTAGACAAACACATTTGGATCAACTAAACATGCTACAATTCAAGAAAGTACAAATGGCATCCATTTGACCTTTATTTATTACAGTCCGAGAAGATCTTTCCTGACGAAAAAGCCCTATTATGAAACACCTTGTACGTTTACTTATAAGTATAAGTATACGTTATAAGTAGTACTTTCACGCCGTGCGAAATCTTTCTAATATCTATAAAATATTCCGTATTTTTGAGCAACAGTGCAAATATGATAACTTGCTTAACATGTGTTAAAAGGGTGGTGTGGCATTACGTTGTTTCATTAAATACAAACATGAGAGATGGAAAATACACTTATGACAAAATAATATAGGTACAACAATCCTTTCATGCATTTAACAATATAAGCCATATCTCGTATATGTAGTTCTAATGGGATGGTTTTGGTTCGAATTTTAACAACATTTTTCTTGTTTCGAAACTGAGGACGTCCAATATGTGATACATTGTCAGTGAGTAGTAGACAGCCGTGCCAACACGGATGTAACATAATTGAAAGCTTCTTTGTCCAAATCTCTATACTCAAAAATCAAAATGTAAATCCCTTTGCTGCTTTTCACTCTCTTTGGGACATCACCTTCTAATGGCCTTGACGTTCCAGTTCTCTCTCTCGAATCTGTAATCCCTGATGTTTACGTTCATATTTTTCTTGGCGTTCTGTTGCAATTTTTTTCCGACATCTTAATTGTTCAGCTTCAAGTCGAAGTTGCTCCTCTTCATGTTTGTTCGTCCTTTCTCTATCTTCCTCGGCAAATATTTCATATTTCTTTCTTCTATCATCTTCCAACATTTCCACAAAGCGATGTTTAATCCTACAGTAATCCTTTCCAAGACCCCAGTCATGAAGTGCACTGTAAAAGCGAAACGCTTCAGTCTTACGAGCGTCGCCTTTAGTTCTATTGTCGATCACAAACATTCTACCAGAACATGCTGCACGCAGTTCCCCAAGTTGTGGGATCTTAGTAGCCCCTTCTTTAAACCTTTTCTCGCATTCAATACGAAACGCATCATCACCTACGCCATTGAATTCAAACCATTCATCCATATGATGTTTAATGTCATCACCGTGAGTGAATAAGAGAACGCCATAATTTTGAGTGAAATCTTCACCAAATAGTTCCTTCATTTGGGCAATGGCTTCATGATCTTCCTTTGTGAAACGATTAAACTGAAGAACAATAAGAAATACATGTGGACCCGGGTGTGCGTACTGTAAGGATGCTACAACTTCTTCACAAACATTATGTTTATCTTTGCCGGTATCCATGAATCCTGGTGTATCGATAAACGTGTATGATATAGACTTGTGAGTACATGTGTTCCAATCGCATGCTGAAGTTACCGACTCCAAAGCTGTGTCAGTTGCAAAGTATTTATTCCCACCGAGTAAAGTATTGGCCGTCGAACTCTTACCGACTCCAGTTTTTCCAATAAGAACTATCCGAATATTGTCATCTGAAAAATAATATTTATTTGAAAGGCAAAGAATAATATATTACGTATATGTATGTAAATGTGTCTCAGGTTAATTTACACGTTTTTACTGACAAAGGTTTTCCTTCAAAAATTAATTAAGTTCTTCAAAAAAGTAATTTTCACTCAATGAGCTCAAAAATCACTAGGTCACATCACGGGGGTTAGCAAAGTGAACTTATATAAAAGTCTTTCCGACGAATTTTCACCCAACAGTGGTTAAATTTCTTGAGACATTACATTTTTCGAAATATGATTTTTGCTCTTGATACTTTTTGATACACTGATGGTAGGCACTGTATATTATATCAGTCTTTCAAACGTATCTGCACCCAAAAGTGGTATATGTCTTGAGATATTGCACTTTTCGAAACATGTTTCCCCTCTTTGTACAATTGTGCTGTTGCTGTTACATGGGACACACATTGCAAGAGTCACTTAATTTCTTGATCTAACATGTAACTCCATTTAGGTCATTGGACTGTAACTTTATGACCTCAGTGAAATGCGAATTGTGATTTACACTCCCCTCCATAAGTTTGGCAACCTTAGCTCCCACATTAAACTACGTGTTAAAGCCTCTTTACGTTTGGATTTTTATTTACTTAACCTGCGAGGAAATAACGTAAAATATTGATGGAAACGTAACTTGACTTTATTTCCAATACCTCCAAATTTTCCGATTTTTTCCTAAATTACAACAGGTCGAAAATTGATGATAAATTTGATGACGACTTTTTGAAAATCGTCATTCCAATGTAAACAAATGGAAAATGGAGGGTACGGGGCAAATCAGAAATCAGAATATCTTTCCAGCAAAAATATTTTTATATAGAAAATTGAATTGTCTAACTTTTTTGTACACTAAGTGTTTAGTTTATTTGATGAATACTAAAGTTACAGCGCTTCAAAGTCGTTTTTGATAATAATTTTTCGCCTCATGTGTTATTTCAATGGGAGAGGTCTTTTGACTTCTAAGCCCTATAACTTTGGTGAAACCGAAGAAACATATCAAGTTTTCGTTGAATAAAGTTAGCAAATTCAACTGCCTACCTAGCTTGTATTTTTTTGCAAGGACTCGAATGGATGGATATTTTGTCATATGACTTGCGGCAAACCTACCATTCACCATTGAATAACATGGGAATGTCGAAAACAAAGGAGATAAGCCCGACCTTTTTCAGAAAACATGAAAGTCTTGTTGAAAATCTAAAAAAGTTAAATAAAGTTAAATAACTGTGCAAATCAAAATTGTTTTGATAGAAAAGTACACACAGAATTCAAATATACAATAATATAGAAGAAACTGTTGGTCTTAAATGGTTAAAAATGCAGATCTAATCTAATAAAAACGAGACTTTAACTAGGTTTCAATGCTATATGAAAACTACTTTATTTGATTTGATTTATTGTTCTGTATTCGCAAACATTAATATTAGTTTAAAAAATAAACATGTTTGACATAGGGAATACATCTACCGCGACATCAGCTAAACAAAGCCGTTTGCGAGGTAAAGACAATATAATTTCTAACCTACACTTAAGAAAAAAAACATTATCTAACATGCGGCTCTGCGAATGCCTGCAGAAAACCCGAGTGTATTATATCTACAATAATTGTCACCTATACTAGTATATGTATACATGATAGTTTCCAAAATGTGTCTCTGTGGCTGCGTCGCCGCTAGAAAAAACAAAAAAGTTTTTAATTAACAACTGATGACAAACTTACACTAATTATGTATAAATAGCAAATTTCATTTTACAAAATAAAAATCTTCCGACCACCTGTAAAACCTTTTCCATCTTTAGCATCACAACCCCATTATCATCCAATTGAGAATATGGTGTTAATTTTGAAATCCTAAACTATTGAGGTTTCCGAAAAATTTTGAGACAAATTTTTAAACATTTTATTAATTTATCTCGCCGCTGAGAGCCTTAATGACTTAATGTTAGTTTTAATACGTACCCTTTTCAATCACTAATACACCCTCTGTTTACATAACGTTAAACGACTAAATGCATGTAGAAATAATTCTAATTGATAATCCGGACTACTTGAACACAATAAACATTTCTCCTTGTGACTTGTGATAATGCTAAATTATACTCTAGAAGTTATATGAATATATTATATTGATTATTATATGAAATAAAAGTTTTACACGTGATAAACACATAATTTGATGTTTTAATCAAGTTATTTACACAAAAAGTTGCAAACCAAAATAATACAAAATAGGTTTCTCTTTCAAACTCATAAACTGTTTTCAAACTAAATAAAGCGTCATTTATGTGTCATATATCATTTTAAAGCTTATCCAAAGTTACATTGATTTGCCAAGTATCATCGTTCAACTTACAAATGGGAAGTTACAGGCATTTCAAAACGTAATGTTTGGCCAAAATTAAAGTTAAAATTAGTATCCTGGAAACACCGCTAACTAAATGTGACCAAAAATATGGGCGCTATCGTCAAAGAGAGGATATATATTGAGTTGTAAAAAGAGGTTGGTAAAGGCAGATACTCCAAGGAAACTCTTCTAAAATGCCTTAAAAAGGTTTTGCGAGGATTATATAATGCCATACCATGCCATGAAGTGCATTTAAGGTCATAACTGGAAAGGATTGCTGTTGTTAACATGGCCAAGGGAGACAGGCCGACTATTAATTTTGTGGAAAACTAAACTTTAATTTTGGTAAAACACTACATTTTGAAATGCGTGTAACTTTTTACCGTTTGTGAGTTGAACCATGATTATTGGCAAACCAATGTAACTTTGGACAAGCTTTAAAATGACATATGACACATACTATGGACATTGGTGTATGTCTGTATGTCTGGGGTCCATTCTTTCGGGACATACTGTACATGTGCATACTCTTTTTAAAGATTAGAGTAGTATTATAACTCTTGACTAAAGACATGGACCTAATTTTTCTTCCCTATTTAACACAATAACTTTCGAAGCATCTTTATATATGTAGTTACAATCTATAAAGTAATGTTCTAATGTATCTTGAACATCAGGCTGACAAAATTTACAAAAAATCATTTTACAGTATTTTACATTTTTAAATAACTCATTTGATTATGTAAAATATAATATCTTGCACTGTAAAGTTAATAAAGACGCATCTTTAATACATGAATATAAACATCTCCGTGCAGTAGTTCATTTTTTCCATTTCATTCCATAGTTGAATGGTGCTCGTATGCTTGTCGTGTTCTGAACCAACAAGTACAACTGATCGAACATTGTTACCGTCAGCCTCGTATTCATCACCATAACACCTTGTGTTACCACTTAAAAAACCATTTCACTCCTTTTACTACAGCTGATGCTACAAAAGACGCAACTTTCTTAACCACTCCCCCAATTTTATCTAAAATACCATCGGATGGTTCTACTGGCTCCTCTTTCTTTTTTTCGAAATTTCTTTCTCGTTGTTCTTCTTTCTCCTTCCATTCATCGTTGATTTTCCTCCTTTTGGATTCTTCCTGTCTCTCCATTTCCTTCATCTTCGATTCAAATTCAAATCTGAGCTGTTCACGTTCCCTTTCCATTTTAGCTTGCATTTGGGTTCGTTCTTCCTCCTCCTGCTGGCGCTGAAGACGCTCTCGTTGTCTCTCTTGATCCAGCAATTCTCGCTGTTTATTTTCAAATTCTCTTTGAAGTTCCATCTCCCTCTCTCGAGTCTTCACATCTTGGTTCTTTTTCTCATATTCCCGTTGGAGTTCTAACTCCCGCTCTCGATTCTTCAATTCCTGTTGCTTCTTCTCGTGCTCCATTTGCCGTTTCAGCTCCTTCTCGCGATCTTTTAATTCACGTTGTTTCTGTTCGAATTCTCTTTGCAGTTTGGCAGCGTGTTCCTCCCTTCGTTTTATTTGCTCAGCTTCAAGTCGAAGTCGTTCTTGTTCTGCCCTATTTCTCTGTTCTCTCATTTCCCTCTCAAGCTTTTCGTTTCTTTTTCTCTTATCATGTTCCATCATTTCTGCAAGGCGATGTTTATCAATGCAATAACGTCGACCCAACCCCCACCGGTAGATCGCGTCATACAAACGAGAGGCCTCGGTTTTTTTAGCACGGCCTTTTGCTCTGTTGTCAATGAAGAACATTCTCCCCGAACATGCATCACGTAGTTCCCTTAATTGTGGAATCTTAGTTGCCCCTTTATTAAACCTTGCCTCACATGCCTTATAAAACGCATCATCATCAACTTCACCATCGTCCAGGCCTTCTGTCATATGGTGTTTTATGTCATCACCATGAGTGAATACGAGGATACCATAGTCCTTTGTGAAGTCGTTCCCAAAAAGTTCTTTCATTTGGGCAATAACAATGTGATCTTCCTGTGTGTATCTTCCAAACTTAATAACAATGAGAAATATGTGAGGCCCGGGCGCCGCGTATTGAAGAGACATTGCCACTTCTCTACAAACAGTATGCTTGTCTTTACCAGTGTCCATGAAACCTGGTGTATCGATGAACTTATAGGAAACTGCGTTGTGGGTACAGACATTCCATTCGCACGTTGATGTTACCGAATCTAAACTAGTGTCCGTTTTAAAGTAGTTTCCTCCCATAAGAGTATTTGCGGTTGAACTTTTACCAACCCCTGTTTTGCCAATGAGAACAATCCGTATGTGTTTATCTGAAAAACGAGTCACGTGTGCATGTAGCCTAACATAATGCATCAAATTGCGGGTGTTTTAACTATATTTTGTTCCGTTGGGATCAGAAGACAAAAAACTAACACGCACTATGATGTTATAAACATTATTTCCAGTTCAGTTGTTATATTTAAATAATCTAAACGACTGCTCAATCATGGTAATATTCGGTCCATATATCAGAAAATGAAGCTTTTGTAATTGTTATTATATATGGCTGTGGATGAGGCGGGGGATGAGGTAAGGGCAGCCTATATAGTTGATTGATATCATGTATTAGATGCGGCGATACTACATTTTTCTAATCCATAAAATTGCAACTTTTAGATGTTTATTAAATGTGACACCAGCAATCTACATATGGCTTTAAATTAATGCTAGGTAACTCCTTCACTAAAAACTCTAAAAGGAAATCAACATTTAATTGCAAATGTCTTTCTTTTGTGTGCAACTTTTCTTAGAGAGGTCAAATAAAGCACAATCCTTCAATTCAAGTCTTGTAAATATATTGTTTCTTTGGAGGATGAGTTAAATTTATTACAATAAGTCCGAGCATATTATAACATAATACAATCTTTATAGATTAGAAATTGAAGTAGACACATAGTTTTAAATGTTCGAGTTCATATCGCTTTATTGTAGTTCACACGGCCAATAGATCGATGGTAACATGTCATTTTTATAATTTAATGCATGTGGCATTTGGACCTTAGACTTTTAAAATGGTTTCGAAATCTATAAGAGCAACTTTAACAAATCAGTAGAACGTATTTTAGATAATAACTTAGGTTGTCACATTCGTTTTACATAGTAATGACTAATATACTCCTTGCCTTAACGTCTTCATACTATTTAAACAAACGTATATCTGGTACTTTTTCTTATACCTTGATTACTGCTATGCACATCGGAATCAAACCATGGTTGCCTTTGGGAGAGTCCCGTTGCGCTTGACCCAGTGTGGTGTGGAATGTCTTGACTTAGCCGTAAAGCTTCTAACATCTGGGCCTCTTCACTTAAACCACCTAAAAGATATATGTATCTAACATTTTCAGCGTGTGTTTATTCTATTGTTCAATTTTTATATTCGAAATTCTTGTTTTTCTTGCTTGATTTTGCACTTTTTCAAATCGTTCAATCTTTCCTTACTTATCAGTTTTTCAAATTACCCCCTTTATTTGTTGATATTTCAAATTAGCAACAACACGACATTAATTATGCTACAATTCAATCCAAAAATAAATAACTTTGAACGGAAAAAAAAACAAATCCAATATACCGTACAACGTAAATATCAAATATTTTTATCTCGATTTGAACACCAAAAACGCCTAGACTTCAAATTATGTATATTCCAGTTCTAACCCTCGGTTATCAAATAGTTTGAAGCAAAAGGCAAATCATATTTTATGCATTCAGAAGTTCAAATCAAAATAGTACGAATGATATTATTTATATTTTACCAGTTATGTCAGAGTATGTGTTGTCACTAGTCCATTCAGTGTGTTGCGGATATGATAAATGGTCCCGACCTAAAATAAAGTACATCATTATACATATAGGATCGGAATTTTGATATCATCTATTTTATTCAGCTATCCTTTCGACAAAAAAGTCTAATTAAGCAAACAATAGGTTGTAATGGTACTCCCGGGATTAGTTAAACTACAGTCCATTTGTCAATCATATTATGGTATTTGTACGTCATTCCTCATGGTTCATTTCTACATATACATTTTTTTTTAAATTTATATTCACTTTAAATGTAAATAACATTATAGATAAACAAAACTCAAATGACTGCCAATTTTAAAAACAGGCTTCAACGGTATTTTTGAATCATGAGAAAAATTGTCCCTTATACTTTCGTTTTTACCTTGCTGTGGATTTATTTGAGTTGATTGTGTCTCGCCATGATCAATTTTTCTATCTGTCTCTTCTTCGCTACGCCTTAATGCCTCTTGAAGCTGTTCCTCTTCACTCAACCCACCTACGAGTGAACAATCCAAATATGAGAAAACAATTAGGGTGATTGTTGTAGAACTATGGTCTGCCAAAGAAAAGTTCTCGCCTCGTATTACTTGATTCACGGGTAGTATCTAAAGCCCCGCTATGATTTAAAAATCGCGAGCAAGTTCCCGCTGAAATCGCGAGGAATAAAAAGAAGTCATGGTTCTTTTTTGTGTTCTTGAATTGTATGATTTACAAAACGTTTTCTTTTAATTTTTCCCAATGATTACATGGTATTGAGACTAAAAAAGCAACTGCTGGAAAAAATGTATCACGAACGGTCGTCCTGTGGTTCGTTATTTGTCAATTGATGAGAGAAAGTATCATTTTGAATCTTTATCTTTATATTTCTATACGTTATTGGTGAAGAACGATGTTGTCCTGTGGTTGAAATAACGATAGTGATATGAAATAAAGATGTACCGAGTTTCGCTTCCTAAAGCTTTACAGAACATTTTATATTTAAATTTTATCATATCCCTCAAGGCCCCGCTTCTAGCAGGAGCAATAAAGCAAAGATCCCGCTGAAATCAGGAGGAGGCCCCGCTGAAAACATGAGGAGGTCCCGCTGAAAACAGGAGCAAGTGTCTCTCAAAAATGGAGTGAATCTCGATTATACCCTGAAAATCTCCCACTTTCGTACCCACCTTGATCCACTATTGTAACCAGTTTGATGAATACATTATTTGTCAATACAATTCTCAATAACAGCAAATACAACTGTTAATATAGTTCATATTATGATACGTTGTTATGGAAAACTGCAGTATCATATTTCCATGCCATTTTACAGAATAAGAAAGATCATCTGAGAAATGTGAGTATTAGATCGGACGAAATGTTAAACATTTAACCTCATTTTCATAATTTGAAGTAATATAAGTTATTGAATGATTTGAAGTGCAATGTAGGATACATTGTGCTCAAAAAATTCTGTATTGGCACGAGATGAAATCATTTGGAAATACAGCATATCGAGAGCACAATATATCATATGTTGCGCTTCAAATCGTTGTATAACGTTTTTTATCGTGTGATCTTACTACATAGTCAATAGGAAATATTCTGTATTCTCTGTATTGCAACTGTCCCCTCTGTTCCATCTTTGAGTACAAGTCGATATTCAGTAAGATACACGAATAAGCGTGCGTTTAGGTCAACATAAAATGATTTAGTCAGAACAATGTTTATGAATATTATTCCGACATCAATCTCCTGTTGCTTACTTGCTTGCTCGCTTCCTCCCTTCCTTGCTTCTGTGCTTCCTTCCTTCCTTGCTTCCTGGCTTCCTTCCTCGCTTCCTCACATCCTTCCTTCGTCGCTTCCTTCCATCCTTGCTTCCTTCCTTCCTCGCTTTCTTCCTTCTTTGCTTCCTTGCTTCATTCCTTCCTTGCTTCCTCACTTCATTCCTTCGCTTCCTCCCTTCCTTCCTTCCTCACTTCCCTCCTTTCTTTCTTGCTCCCTTCCTTGCTTCCCTCCTCGCTTCCTTCCTCGCTTCCTTCCTTCCTCCCTTCCTTGCTTCCTCGCATTCTTGCATCCTTCCTTCCTCGCTTCCTTCTTTCCATCCTTGCTTCCTTCCTTCCTTTCTTGCATCCTCCCTTCCTCGCTTCCTCCCTTCCTTGCTTCCTCACTTCCTTCCTTCCTCGCTTCGTTCCTTCCTTGCTTCCTCGCTTACTTCCTTCCTCGCATCATTCCTTCCTTGCTTCCTCCTTTCCTTGCTTCCTCCCTTCCTTGCTTCTTTCCCTCCTTGCTTCCTCGCTTCCTTCCTTCCCGGCTTCCTTCCTTCCTTGCTTCTTTCCTTCCTCGCTTCCTACCTTCCTTTCTTCCTCGCCTCTTCTTTTCTTGCTTCCTTCCTTCTTTGCTTCCTTCCTTCCTCGGATCTTTCCTTTCTCGCTTGCTTCCCACCTTGCTTCCTTCCTTCCTCGCTTCATTCCTTCCTTGCTTCCTCGCCTCTCTCTTTCATCGCTTTCTTCCTTCCCTCCTTGCTTCCTCGCTTCCTTCCTTCCTCGCTTTTCTTGCTTCCTTCCTTCCTTGCTTCCTCGCTTCCTTCCGTCCTCGCATCTTTCCTTCCTCGCTTCCTTCCTACCTTGCTTCCTTCCTTCCTTGCTTCCTCGCTTCCTTCCTTCCTTCCTCGCTTCCCTCTTTCCTTCGATGCTTTTTTCCTTCCTCGCTCCCTTTCCTCCTTCTTTGTTTCCTCGCTTTCTTCATAAATTTCTTCCTCACTTCCTTTCCTCCTTCCTTCCTTGCTTCATTCCTTCCTTCGATGCTTCCTCGCTTGCTTTCTTCCTTGCTTCCTCGCTTCCTTCCTTCCTCGATTCCTTCCTTCCTCACTTCCCTCTTTCATTCCTTGCTTCCTCGCTTCCTTTTTTCCTCCTTCCTTGCACCCTCGATTCCTTCGTTTTTTCCTCGCGTCCTTCCTTTTTTGCTTCATTCCTTCCTTGCTTCATCGCTTCCTCCCTCGCTTCCTTCTCTACTCCTTCCTTGCTTCCTCGCTTTCTTCTTTCCTTGCTTCCTCGATTCCTTCCTTCCTCACTTGCATCCTCCCTTCCTTGCTTCCTCACTTCCTTCTTTCCTCCTTCCTTGCTTCCTCGTTTCCTTCATTCTTTCCTCGCGTTGTTCTTTTGTCGCTTCATTCCTTCCTTGCTTCCTTCCCTCCTTGCTTTCTCGCCTTCTTCCTTACTTACTTCCTTCCTTGCTTTTTTCCTTCCTTCCTTTCTTGTGTCTTTGCTTGCTTCCTTCCTTCCTTGATTCATCGTTTCCTTCCTTCTTTGCTTCCTGGCTTCCTTTCTTCCTCGTTCCCTTCCTTGCTTCCTTCCTTGCTTCCTTCCTTGAAGGAAAGATAGAAGAAAACAATTTACAAAAGATCGAACCCACGCACGCAAGAACGTAGTTACAAACGAACGCACGAATGAACGCACGCACGAACGAACACACAAACGAACGCAAAAAGAACGAACAGACGAACGCACGCATGAATGGACGGTTGAACGAAAGCACGCACGGACGAACGGACGGTTAGACGGACGAACCCACGAACGAAAGGGCAGTCAGACGAAAGCAAGCACAAACGGACGGTCAGACGAACGCATGCGCACACAAACGGACGGACAATCGCACGAACGGATGCACGCACGAACGAACGAATGGTCGGATGAACGCACGCATGAACGAACGGACCGTCGGACGAACGCACGCACGAACGAACGGTCGGTCGAATGCACGCACGAATGAACGGTCGGACAAAGAGACCAATGAAATATATGTGTCCTCAGAAGTATAATCCTTGGAATAGTTAATTATCTAGAATGTACATTTAACTCCGAAATGCACAAAGTCTATTTACATATAAAAATTTGATCATGCCGCTGACAGATGGATTAGACTGCCTGAAGTTGAAGAAGAAATATTTGTGATGTTGCCATAGAATGATATATTATGTGACTGTCATTAATACGTTATTTGCACATTCGTGTACGTTCATATAAAGAAGCTCACTATATTCATGGAATAATGATGAAGCTTTCCTCGTGATCGAAGCGGGTAGTCGTGAAATTTGCTCGTGTTTTCAGCGGGGTCTCCTCATGTTTTCAGCGGGGCCTCCTCATTTTTTCAGCGGGGCCACTGGAACACCTTTAATCATGTATTTCGACCCCCATGGCAGGTGTCATTGTCCAGTAACTTATCAATACAGACCATCTTGATCCGATATTTATTATGGAGTATGTAAATCGTATTTATTGCCTTTATTTTAACGATAAAGGTAATATATGAGCAGTAAATTATGCAAACGTGCATGTTGACGCCCCTTTCCTTCATGCAAGTAAAAAATAATCATTTTTCATGTCATTTTTTGTCAAATATATCTGTTTTCAAAGTTTTGCTGGAGTATCAAAGAACGGTAATAAGTATTTTCATCCTTTTGGTTCATTTTCCAAAGTGATACAAATAAACAGGACTATGCTCGCGATTTCAGCGGGAACTTGCTCGCGACTTTTCAATCATAACGGGGCTTTAGATACTACCCGTGTTGATTGATTGACATGAATATAAAGGTAGTGTATAAGGCAAACAGTTGTAATTAGGTGCCAGGAGAACGACCGAAAGTGGGACCTTGAGTGTTTAATATTACACGTCCCCTTACAAATATCTAAGCACATGTGCCAAAGGGAAAGGACCAAAAGTTGTAATAGAACTTAGCAAGAAAAAGCAAACTCTAAGTGCATACCAGTTAAGAAAAACAAACCCCGTATATCCCAAAACCATGATCTTATGTGAAAAGAAACAATGTCTAATACCCCATTCCCCCATCATTCAAGAGCCGATATCACAATCCAAGATCAGAACACCAAGGGACACCAAATTATCTTAAAATACCCCTATATACTAGTATATAGTTTCAGACACATATGGTGGAACATGATATAACACATCATTCTGCCCAATATATAAGAACACAAATTAGACAATTTATTCTGAAAACAGATGACTGCATTGGCTTAACCTTGACCTAGATCAAGGATGAAATTATTGTGTTCGCCAGCTTATGTATTCGAATCTTGTTCAAAAGTATAATTTAATTGTTGTCATATTTTTGTAAAATACATGTATTTCGTGTTACTTTTAAATTAGTTATTGAGGGCAACGCTCACTTTCGTAACAGTTCTCGAGAATCTGAATGCAAATTAGCGAGATTTCACCTAAAACCGTGTGGAGTTGAATTCTGTTTCGTTTTAAAATACCTGCTATATCACTCATACCTGTTAAATCATGATATGCCATACTGCCTGAATAACTTGAACCATGAAATCTACCGCAACCTAAAATAATAGTACAATAACGTCATTTCGAAGGGCAATATAGTGAAATATTGGACCGAGGTTCATTTTACAGAATGTTTTCAATAATTGGTTTGAGAGAAAAACATTGTTGAATTCAGTTCACCATATCGATACCAATCCTTTGCCTACATTGAATAACAGTTAATAGTATAACAGTCAATTTAACAAAATATTATATTTGCTAAAATAAAAAACTTTGTCTTAAAACTTCACTATGTTAGATCACTAGCAGTTACTTACCAGCATCCTTCCTGTCTGTTATTCTCCCATTCACCCCTGTGCTACTTATGTTGATGTACGATAACCTAAAGTTTCTCAGATTTTCAAAACTTCTATTTGATTTGAAGTGATGTTAAAGACAAGTGGCATGTCATGCCATATTCAGTAAGTTGACTTGACATGCTGGTTAATCAGTTACACATGATATTGGCGTTTGTCAATTTGGTAATTGTTGTATTTTGAGAACTTCGCAATAAAAACGTTATTTAGAAACTGAAAGTTGCTTCTATTATGGTCTAACATCAAACGAAAGATTATCAATAAATCAAGGGGCATACAGGTTTAAGCACTTGTTTTTAAACATCTTATATTATTCAGTTTCGTTTAGACTATGAGAGCGTTTAGTGAGTCGATTCATAAAACATGTACCCTTTGTTTATGAACTGTATGCGATATTACGATTAAGTTTCCTAAACATCTTCCGTCCAATGTCAACCAACATACTAGACTATTGACATTGGCATTTTCTAACGAGTCATGTTAAGAAACCACATAATGGTATAAATGGATGTGGTATATAGTGGTGTATATAAACTGTTTTATATTCACTTAAAACATTATCTAGTATATAAGGTCAATTATTTTGAACTACTTACTCAAAACAAAATCAAAAAGCGTAAGGTCCAAATAGATTGGATGTTGTGTAGAAGAGTTCGAGTATAAAATGTCTCTAATAACCGTGATAGGTTCAAATGCCATTGCAGCTTTCAACAGGGTCCTTCTGTCTAAATATACAGGGTGTCTCAAAAAATGTACCCAAAAGTATATCAAGAGCACAGATAAACCAATCAATATTTTCAGACATTTTTTGCATGGTCATGTAGCTAAAACATGAAAGTTTTCTCCCCAATACACCATTTTTATTTCAGTCTTGTCTTTCTGATGCTTTAACCCTTTACCTTTTACACCACATAATCGATGTAACCTCATATTTCGATGACAGCCTGCATCCTTACTGCTACATTATTCATCACATTTGATAATAATTACGGTGGAATGTTTTGGATTTCTCTTTGGATGTTGCCCTTAAGTTGTTCTCGGTCTTTTTGCTTGGAATGAGCATTAAAACACTCCTTCAAATAGCCACAGAGAAAGATGTTTGAGGATGACAATGGCAGGACAAACACAGATAATCAGGTCAATTATCGGCAAATGATTCAGGAGTTACCTTCCAGAGTTAGGCAGGCTAGCCTGGAGACAAAATAATATCCAAATGAAAACACAGTGGTCTCAAATTGATACACACAACAAAGGCTACACTAGAATGATAGAATCCCAACCAATGCAGTTTCTTGAACCTCTAGCCTCTCTGTATAAGGGGGCTATAAGACATCATGAGGGCCTCCCTATTCACCATATTTTAGGGCCCATACTTTTTCTCTGAGGCTATTTGAAGGACCATTTTTATGCTAAACCCAAGCTAAGAGACCTAGAACAACTTAAGACCAGCATCCAAACAGAAATCAAAGCATTTCACCAGAAATATCAAATGTGATGAACAATGTAGTAGTAGGGATGCAAACTGTCATCGAAATATGAGATTACATTAAATATGCGGTGTAAAAGGTAACGGGTTAAAGTATCAAAAATGTAAACTGAATTAAAAACTGTGTATAGGGGAAAAAACTTTCATCTTTTATCTACAAGGCCATGCAAAAAATGTCTGAAAATATTGATTGGTTTGTCTATGCTGTTGATATACCTTTGGGTACATTTTTTGAGACACCCTATATAAGGTCCAAAAACGCCAAAAAGACACATTTAAAACAATGGCAACTTAAAAATTGGCGCTCTCAGTTATGTAGCGTTTATAGCA